TGCATTCAAACTATTCAACAGGAAGTTTACAATTATACTAGGAAGTGTATGAATATTTTGAGGAACTTGATGAAATGAATTGGTCAGCCCGAGGTAATGTATTGAATCAATATTTGAGGAACACTTCAATTGGAACGACAGTAATGTTCAAAATCGGGAGCATATTTTGGGATGTGTCTAAAATTAGCGAAAATCGGCATATCAAATATTAACTCCAGCATTTGTTTGCTTATTGAGATATCAGGCTAACTTGTATTTCAGCGAATTGTCGTTAGGGTTTCTAAGGCATATGACGTAGATTTAGAAATCTTACATGTAAGTCTTAGCTCATTGTTTCCTGAAATATGAACGTTCGAAATTATGAAAGTATTTAATAGGTCTTTACAAACTTAAAGGTACATGAAATTCATGCAAGGCAGGCGCTTAAATTTTTCTTAAATAGTCTAATGTTTTTATGTTTTTCATGGGTTCAAAACAGACTTGATTATTTCTCGGTTAGAGCAGGATGAATATTATTCTTTAATGAAGGAAATAATGTTGCTTTTTGCAAATACATATCACAGTATTAACGCTAGTATTTTGCTACATTTTGTTCCAAAAATGTTGGATGTCTCTGGGGAGTTGCTTGTTATGTCTTATGGAGTTGTATGGTTTGATTGTGTTTCATTCTCGGTTTATTCTGAACTTGCCAAGATTAAGAAAAGGCAAAAGAGTTTGGGTGTTCTTATAAATAAATAAATAAATAAACAAGATATCAGAACGTTGCAGAAGTTAGAAGAGCTTCACAATTCCATTGTTACAGCATACCCTAATTCAGAACTACGAACGATCCATGACGATCCTTCGCGATGCAGTGGTCTCGTGAAATAAGGAAATGTATTCGTGCTAGAAACACACGCGGATTTCTGACGAATAAATCTTGCTTGTATTTTGTAGATAATAATACTTTGTTTCATAATAAACAATTTGTCAAGTGTCATTTATTTACAGGTAATAGTGCATGTTTCAGTTGGGTAAATCTTGATTAATATTTGATACGCTGTTTTTGGCATATTTCAGACACATCAAGAAATATGCTCCCGATTTTAAACATTAATATCTCCGTGAATTTTTAAGTGAAATACAACTGTAATATATCAAAATCTAAGTTAGTCCTTCCTCTATTTGATGCAAGTTATTTCTCTTTAAAAGCTTTAGTTGTTTAGAAGTTATTTCGAATCAAACCGGAGTACTTTTTTTTGGGACACCCGGTATATATATATATATATATATATATATATATATATATATATATATATATATATATATATATATATATATATATATATATATATATATATATAATAAAGCACGCGTAGGAGTGTTTTATTACATATAAGACACGACACGTAGCGGAGTGTTTTATATGTGATAAAACACGACTACAACTGCTTTAAATGGCTTAAAAAACGATTCATCTTACACGAGTTCATTGGCGAAGTAATTTTTAAATTAAACTTTGTCTAAACCAAGAAAATCAAAGCTAAAGTTTACGTAAATTAACATGATTTTTATCACATACAAAACCACGACACGCAACTACAGACGGTACCGTTTCGGCCTTTTGGGTCTCATCAGTGTAGTGCTAATGAGCAGGATGAAAGTAACCACTATAAATAGTTACCTTTGATGTCTCACGAATGTGGGGCATTAAACCATTGCCAGAGTGCTCAAACTGCAAGCAGTGAGCATGCGCACAATGCGTTAGCAGCAATGGCTCATCCTGTAGAGAACTCAATATGACACAAAGGATATATATATATATATATATATATATATATATATATATATATATATATATATATATATATATATATATATATATATATATATATATATATATATATATATATAGCTAGTGCATGCCGTCATGCAAACAAATTTTTAATTAAAAACGGTTAGGCTTTATGACTATGAACGATCGGTATATAAATGGGATATTTTAGTGTAATCTGATCATGCACCTGAAGAGAGAGGATCTAGAAAGAGCCTCTCGAAACAGAACTGTAGTGCTTTTCAATTTTTAATGAACATTCTTAGGTTTTAATCTTTAATTTTTAATTTTAACTTAGCTCCACTTTGATGTAGAGAGTGGCAGAAGGAGAAAACCAATTTGTATATATATATATATATATATATATATATATATATATATATATATATATATATATATATATATATATATATATACTGTAGTATATAAAGATTGAGCTAAAGCTCACATGAAATTACAATCTTGTTTAGATGGACGCAGTTGCAATCACAAATGCTTCTGATGAGCTTTTAAAAGAAATGGGCCTCTCAAAGGCAGGAGATCGTCTAAGTTTAAAAGATTTCTGTGCTCATCAAGAAGATGAAAGCAGTTCACAAGAAGGAAATAAGAATAGAAAAAGAGCATTGCTAGAGGCATTCCTTTCCAGAAAGAAGGAACAAATAAAGAAAAAAGTAAATCTAAAAACAGTACTTCTTTAATAAAAGAGCCACTAAAACCAAAATTCAAAAAGGTTTAGCTTGGATGGAAACATTTCAAGGAACAGGAGCAAGCTTACACACTTGTGCCTCTGCTCAAAGGAGGAGGAAGTCGAGTGATAGAAATGCCATTAACTAGTTGTAAGACGGACATATACCAAACTTGTAAGAATCTTTTTTTCCCTAATTGGAATTCTATATTTGGAAATGAGGATAATATGCTGTTTAGTCTGATAACTTTAAAGGTGAGGAGGTTGAAGAATCTATTAAAGTTGGAAGAGAATATATACCATTTACCTTGTGTAACTACATGGAAGCACACAAAATTAGAACTGTTAGACTGTATTTACAATCCAGGAAGATTGATGGCAGTGATAATGACGATGATCTCTTATCCAGTACATTTGATCATGACCTCAATCAAGAAGGCTCACTGATTGGCCCCCACCTTGAGAGGCAGTCTCTTGTATCCCGTAATCAAGAAAGCTCGCTGATTAACTCCACCCTGGATATGCAGTCTCTTGTGTCCCCAAATCAAAAAAGCTCACTGATTGGCTTCACCCTCGAGGGGCAGTCTCTTGCATCAGAACAAGACAAGGAGTATCAAGAGTCGCTGAAAGCAGATGAAAGAAAAGCTGTCTCACGTGAAAGAGAGAACGAAGAATCAAAGCGCAAAAAGAGAATTCAGAATGTTAGAGCAGATAGAGTGGTTCCCGAGCCTGATGATGAGTTTGTAACTGTCAAGGTCAGGCATATCGCAATGGGTTTGCAATCTAGAAAGTTTCCAAAAACCTCTCGCATGGCAGCTGTGTATGACTGGGCTGGTTCCCTCAGCCCAGATCCAGAGAACTTTACAATCTATCATTTGGGGGGTGATGCAAACACCAAGTGAAGAATTATCTGACAGGTGTACCTATTTAATGGTTGAAGAAGAGCATGGAACCCCAGGACTGTTAGAATCGGATGATGAATTGCAATTTTTGGGATTTGGAACTGTTAGTAAAAACAATAACGAGCCCCTGCCTGAGTAAGTATTAATGTATCATAGTTATACCTGCATGTATTTTTAGTAATCTGGCTTACAAAACATAAAACAGAACCGTGGTCATGTTCACGCCGAATTAAATTCACGTAAAGTATATTTCAGAATTCTTAATTAAGCAGGCAGTATACTTCAAGACATATCACATGTATATCTCCCGGCTTCACCATTCATATATACAGATTACAGAATGCAATGCATGCGGATTGTATTGAGATCAGTCAAGCTAGCAACATGATTTTCTCGACTTACACAACGTATTAAAATTACTTCGCCAATGGCATTCCTAAGTAACTCGATCATTTTTGAAGCAATTTAAAACAATCGCAGTTTGTTTTTAATCAGACCTTCGCCTGGTATCTTTATATCTGATAAAACACTGTTTCTCATGTTTCAAATAGTACACCGAAATGTGCCGAAGCTTTGATCGCTGAAAGTATGTGGTCGGCAGTCAATCAGAATGCTCAAGTGCTACTTTTCAATACTGAAATTACACTAAAGTGAGATACTGTATTTACTAAACCTACTCGTCGAAAGTCGTCAAAGCAATAATTTAGTAAAATATTGCTATAAATTTCAAGGTTGTTTTTGTACTGTGTTATAGTTTGATGATAGTGGAATTTATTTTCAATAGCTTAGTGCACAATAAAGTTAAAGTTTATGTAAATCAAGTAGAATCTTTATCACATATAATTTATTTTTGATCAATCAGATTGGCCAATGAAACAGGAAGTTAGCAACTTTTTAAGGAACTTATAAAATTGTTGAGGAATTAACCTGCGTGGCAGGCCCTCAGAGGATTCCTCCCCAGTGCCCGCCAGAATCCTGCCCGTTGCAAATCATGCAATCACTGAGGGCCTTCCACGCAGGCTATTGAGGAATTGTACAGAGGTGTTCCTTCAAGTTAGTAAATGAATTGGTCAACATTTTTCGGAACGCTTCTATTGGCACAATCTCGTTCCCAGAGTATGCCTGTTCGCGGGTTATGTAGTGGCATGATTACATAACCCGCGAACAGGCATACTCTGGGAACGAGATTGCTATTGGCACGACTGTAATGAGTTTTTGAAGTATATTTTCAGTTCATATCTCGTTTGATATTTAATTAAAACATTTTATATGAACAACAGTTCCACCGTTGTAGTCAGTGTAACCGTTGTAGTCATCGTTGTAGTCAGTTTGTAAGTTTGATGATGACGATGATGATGATTTTATTGATCCATCTTAAGTTTAAAAATACAATGGATTTACAAATATGTCTATTAAAAGAAAAGAGCATAACTAAGCATGCAATAATATTTACAAACTATCTAAAATTTATACATATACAATTTGGAGTAAAAAATTTAAAAGTCTAGGAAATTATTTAAAAAGTTAATAAAAACCAAGTTTGGTTTTAGTGCAACCCCTGTCTCATTGCTCGTGGGACAAAACTATTTCTGTGTCGTTCAGTGCCTGAGAAAGGTGCGTATTTAAATATACCGTCTCTACGCCTAAGATTATAGTTATGTTTATTATGTTCCATAGTTCGTTGATAAAAGATATGGCTTGGATCACCTAAGATGTTAACGAGTTCCCTCGATGTGGCTTCAATTCTTCTCTCTTCGAGAGTTGGCAGGTAACCATGCGGGAGGCCAATAATTCGTAGACTCCTCCTTTGCACACGTTCCAATTTGTCCTTTAGATATCGTGGCAGACCACCCCACACTGGAGAACAATATTCAAGGATAGGCCTGATTTTAGTTAAATAAGTGGTGAGACCCACTTCGACTGGTAGATTCGCTCTTCTACATTCTCGTAGGCAGTGCAGGTTTTTAGCTGCTTTGCGGGTGGTCTCCTCGACATGTTTATTCCATTTCAGGTCCTTTTGAAACCAGGTTCCCAAGAGTTTAAAATTATCGACTCTTTCTATGATAGCATCTCCTATATGCAGTGGTAGAGGGGGCGGTGCTTCGGTGAAGTTAATCCACATATCTTTTGTCTTTTTGGCATTCAGTTCCATTTTATTTTCCACAGCCCAACTTTGTACTGAGTCCAGAGCGCTTTGCAAATCGCTATGGACGTATCCATGGTGCAATCGTCCGCATATTTGATTGTGTTGACACATGCCTGTTCAGAAACATTTTCCTCCATATCGTTAATGTGTATGTTGAATAGGGTCGGCGAGATAGCAGATCCCTGAGGGACGCCGGCTGGGCATGATGCAGTAAAGGATAGTACACCTTGGAGATTTACCTGTTGTGTTCTTCCCTCCAGAAAACTCATTATCCATAACCAGAAACTCCTTGTTACATTCATATCAGCAAGCTTGTCCAGAAGGATCTTATGGTCGACCAAGTCAAACGCCTTCCGGAAATCAACAAATAGGGCGTGGACACCTTGTCTACCGGTTGAGGAGTTGTCCGTTGAGTCGAATCAGTTCTGAGATATGGAGGTCATACAGATCGGCTAAAAAATGGTAACAATTTCCG